ATTTAAATATATTGTTTTATATTTATATTTTTTTGAAAGTTTTTAAAGAAAGAATTCTTTTATATCTTTTTATTCTTATTTTTTCTTTTAACTATTTTAAATCTTAAATTTTTTATTCCTCAAAATATGTACATAGATAAAAATATGTACATATTTTGACGTATACAGTATGTGTGTGTAAACATTTCAATAATATATGTAATGAGCAACGGAAACATTCTCAATTCTCTATTCTACATTGTTTTGTCTATCTTTTTGCTATTTTTTTTAATATTTTGTTATGTATACATAATTTTACAAATTTTACTTTACATTCATAATTTGCGATCCAAAAAGCTTCTACATGTTACATTATTTTTGTTATACCTATAAGGATAGAGAAAAAAATAAAAAGATAAAGATAGAAAATTCAATATTTTTCGAATTTAAAGGTCTATGAACTCGTAAAACTGCGTATGGGCACAAATAAAAAATACGGGTTAAATATTTTTGGTAGTACTACATTTGTACCAAATTTGAAAAAAATCGGAGTGTAACACTTGGGTAGGGTTACTTGTGAGTAAAAGCACAACATAAACTGATAATAGTCAAAAATATTTTAAATATACAGGAGTTAAAAAGGAGAAATAAACATAATCCCAAAAATAAAAAAGAAAACAACAAAGTGAGGGATAATTAGAATAATTTTTATATTATTGTATAATTTTTTATATTGTTGTATAATTTTACAACTTTGAACTTATTGTTATATTTATTTTTGTTATATAATATCACATTGTCTTTGTTATGTTGTCTGAAGAGGACCCAATTCAGGGTCGAAACGTTGCTGAGTAAATAGTATTTTTTCCATCATTAGTCGGTTTGGCCGTTTAAAGAATATCAACCTTGATTTTAATTTATCAATTTTTTAATTTTTACAGATTAGCAAAACTTTAATAAATGTTAAAAAATTGATTATTTTTATAGATTAGAAATTATTATATTAAAATAGCAATTAGATTAGAAATTAAGAAAAAATTCACTAACTTTTAAGGTCGTTATTTTACTCTTAAAAGAACGAATCGGTTCTTCCTCTCTTTTTTCTTTATGCGCAATAAAATCATATATACAATGAGCATATGTATAATAATATCATGCGCATAAATGTACGTTAATATTTTTAATTATTACATGAGTGCAGTAATATAGACAATCGCGGATTTGTTGACATAAAACACAAGCATATAACAGCGAAACTGTTGACAATCGAAATTGTAAGTAAATTATATATTTTTTTTTCTAGATTAAATCATCCATTATTTTTAGATGATATAATTTTATTTTTAAAATAATTTTTTTATTATTTAAACAAAAATTTTAAAGTCTGATGACATACGCTCTCTACAAATTATTTAATCTAATATTAATTTAAGGAAAAAAATGTTTATCTCCGTTGTAAAAAATGAAAAAAATATATTCAAGAATTGTTATTAAAATATTGTACAGAGATTGTACAGGACTCTGTACACGCGCACACGCACACGCCCACATTGTGTATGTGTATGTATACATTGTATGTATACATATATGTATGTACATGTGTATATAACATATATATATATATATATATATATATATGTATATATATACATGATCTGTCAGAAAAGTAATGAGATTTAAATAAAGATTATAATTTTGTTACTTTTCTGACAGACCACGTATATGTATATTACACACACAATATGTATATGAGTGTGAATATCCATGCGCATGCACGATATTGAAACCTCGTAGAATTATTTATACGTTATTTAATTGTAATGTAATTATTCACTAGATTTTTAAATGAAAATCTCAGCGTTTTGTTTGATAAACTTTTTTTTTTTTTTTTTTTTTTCGATATGTTGAAATTTTCGTCCTTCTCATTTCTATATATTTTTGCATTTTGCCCGTAGTATAAAGGAGAAATTTTTCCCAAAAACATTTTATTTTTAAGATAATCAACTGTATCATTTAAAATAAAACAATCTGTATATATATATATATATATATATATATATATATATATATATATGAGTCATTCCACATCAAATCGACCACCTCCCCTCCCCCCGCCCAAAATTGTATTCAAGTAAATTTAACTTCCAAGGTACCAAATTTAGCTTGAAACATTTAGTTTTTTATGCCGTGTGGCGATTTTGAAAAATGTTAAATAATAACCTCGGTTTTGTCAGTTATATAAAAAAATGGTATATATTTTCTTATTCAAATCTTTACCATTTCCTTACAAATAAAGTACAAAAGTCATTTTTAATGTAATTTGATCCGCTGAATCCGAATCTGAAGTCAGAAAAACAAATTTTATATTTTTGCAAATAAATAATTAGTTATTGATATTTACTTTTAAAAATAAAATTAATGTTATTATTTTTAAAAATGCTTTTTTTCTCTTTTAACTACGACATTTCTATGCTAGAATATTAACTATCCAGATAGCACAAGCTATTTGAACAGAATTCATTTGTATGTCACCAATTTTGAGTTCCTTTTCAAATACATATTTTGTAAAATGAATTCTTTTACAAAATGAATTCTATATGTATGTGAAAAGGGACTAAAAATTGGTGACATACAAATGAATTCTGTTCAAATAGCTTGTGCTATCTGGGTTGAGTCCCTTTTCAAATACATATAGAATTCATTTTGTAAAATGAATTCTTTTACAAAATGAATTCTATATGTATGTGAAAAGGGACTAAAAATTGGTGACATACAAATGAATTCTTTTCGAATAGCTTGTGCTATCTGGGTAATTATTGTATTCTGCACAATTGCACATTTGGCAGTATCAATTATATTTTTAATATTTTATGAAAAAGCTTTCTGCATTTATACTGAGTTAATGTTGTCTGCAGATTATTTTTCAAAGCCCACATTACTTTTTCTTTTCTAAATTTTTAAGGTTTAAGTTTTTAAAATTTAAAAATTTTAAAGTTTTAAAATTTTTAGGCTTTTTAAGTTTTTAATTTTAAAGTTTAAAAATTTTTTAAATTAAATTTAAAAAATTTTTATTATCTAAAATGTAAAATTTGGGGCTAAAAAATAATCTACAGACAATATTAATCCTGTATAAACGCAGAAAGCTTTTTCATAAAATATTAAAAATATTGTTAATACTGCCAAATGTACAATTGTGCTGAATACGATAATTATAGTTAATATTGTAGCACAGAAATGTCGAAAACGTTGTAGGAAAAAGAGAAAAAAGTATTTTTAAAAATAATAACATTATTTTTATTTTTAGAAGTAAATATCAATAGCAACGAATTATTTATTTGCAAAAATATATATTTTGTTTTTCTGACTTCAGATTCGGATTCAGCGGATCAAATTATATTAAAAATGACTTTTATACTTTATTTGTAAGGAAATATTTTATTTTCACAAAGCTAAGTTTCCAAAAAAAACTTTATTTTCAACTGTTTATAATTCGAAAATTATTGGTGTTTCGACATTTTCGTTGAGAAAAATCGTCTTTGAATGATATCAGGAATCTGCCATTAAAAACTTTTCCGCCAGTTCTGGGACACTCTGTATATATACAGGATGTTTCAGAAATAGATAATCAAACATTAAAAGCATATTCTATTTTTTACTTCTACTAAGAATGAAAAAATCATATGAACGTGAGTTCCAGAATCGCTTGTTTTCCAAAATATAAATAGGAGAGATCGGGGCGAAGTCGTCACTTTTTTTCAGTTTTGACTACTGAAAATACGTTTGTTGTAATCAAAATCACAACATGGCATATAATTCACTAAATTCTGTTGATCACATGAACATCATAAATAGCGTTTATAACATGAACAATGAGCTCACATAACATATATATTTTGAAATAAATGTAATGACGACTTCGCCCCGGTCTCCCCTACTTTTTATTTACAACAGACAACAAGTCTCACATCATAGATATTTCATAAATTTTTCTTCTATTCACCTCTATTAGAAATAAACAATAATCTTCTCATTTAATCCCTTAGATTTTTATTTATGGAGACATTTTAAATTTCTCGTTTATCGTATATACTTCTGTTGCTATGGAAATACACCAAAATCATATTGTCGCTTTATGTGACAAAACATGGAATACTTCGAGAATTCTCGAACATCTTTGATCCATGTGAGGCGTACATTGATACGAAAGGAAATCATTTCTTACAATTTTTTAAATAAAGTATTTTTATCAAAATTTATTAGAGATAAAAAAGTTTTATAATTTAAAAAGGAAGTGTTTCTCCAAACTCATATGACTTTTTCATCTTTACGGTCAATATAATATGCTTTGAAAATGTGGCCACTTATTTCTGAAACACTATTATACAGACACAAGTAATATAAATATATGCGTATAATTTAAAGCACACAGATATACATGTATGTATATATATACAGGGTGTAATTAAACAAATATATACGAAACACACCATTAGGTGCAGGACAACAAACTAAATCAAAAAGTTCTGAATCATTTTTTGATCTGAGCTTTCTTTTTGACGCTATAATTGTTAAAGTTTGCCAATTAGCGCGTGGTTACAACGAAAAACAGCGTAGACACCGCCTACTAAATAAAATTCGGGATCGGAAAGTAGTGAGACAAAGTGGAGAGAAACGAATGTAGCAGTCATCTGTCTCTGTTTTTCTCTCTCTAGTAGGCGGCGTCTACGCTGTTTTCTGTTATAACAACACGCTGCGATTAGCAAACTTAACAATTTATAGCGTCAAAAAGAAAGCTCAAATAAAAAATGGCTCAGAATTTTTGATTTAGTTTGTTGTCCTACACCTGATATACTTTGTATATATTGTATATATTTGATTAATTACAACCGATATATAAATGTACATGTGTTCGTATAAATACACATATTAATACAATAAATACACGTGTCGTATCGTATAAATAATTATTGATTTATTAGAATTGTTGTTACATAATTATCATTAAAATTAACAAATACTACTCATACTGATACTATCACTAATACTATTACTATTATCATTACTACTACTGTTATTACTGGTACTATTATTTCTACTCCTCTTATTACTATTCCTTCTACTTTTACTACAATAACAACAACAACTATTATTATTAATACTGCTGTTACTACTACTACTACTACTACTACCAGTATTACTATTATTACTACTACCTACTACTACTATTACTACCCAAAGAACACACTGAAGTCAAGAAAAAGTCAAAACGATTTTATTTTTGATTCGAAATAGTCATGATTTTTCATGTGACGAAAATTTGATTTATTATATCATTACATTTACTGCTGAGTAATGAAAAAATGGTCGATTTTATGCTGACCCTGCAAATCTCTTGTTTTACTGGATATATGTGTTATATTTTCAATCTTCTTATATATTGTAAAAAAGAAAACTCGTATAGGACCGCGGAGCACAGACAATTACATAATGTAAATAATCATCAATCAGAATCCTTCATTTTCTAAATCTTCAGGATTTTCATCCTGAAGATAGAAATGAAGGATTCTAATTAGTTGATTCTCTTATGCATTACGCAAAAGTCTCCGGCTCTTAGACCGTTTTGGTTCCTCTATTACTACAATAAGATGTCTTTTTGCTGTTTTCTTAACGTCAACAAATCGTTAAATTTTTAAACTAAAAATCATCATATTGACTGTCTATCGTGACATAATTATGACGTCAAAATGATGTCATTTTGACTGCGTTGTATTCCTTGGGTATTATTATTACTACCGCTACTACTACTACTACTACTACTACTACTACTACTACTACTACCTACTACTACTACTACTACCACTACTACCACTACCACCACTACCACCACTACCACCACTACCACCACTACCACCACTACCACCACTACCACCACTACCACCACTACCACACTACCACCACTACCACCACTACCACCACTACCACCACTACCACCACTACCACCACTACCACCACTACCACCACTACTACCACTACTACTACCACTACTACTACTACTACTACCACTACTACTACCACTACTACTACCACTACCACTACTACTACTACTACCACTACTACCACCACTACTACCACCACCACTACTACCACTACTACCACCACTACTACCACCACTACTACCACTACTACTACCACTACTACTACTACCACTACTACTACTACCATTACTACTACTATGACTACTACTACTACCACTACTACGACCACCACCACCACCACTACTACTATCATCATTACAATCACTATATCACCACTTTTATTGTTACTGCTACTGATATTTTTACTAAATTATTACTGTTATTGTTGCTATTGTTATTACTATTTAATTATATTTCTGCCATTGTTAGAAAGGAAAAAGAAGTAAGATAAAATCTTTATTCTTGTTTATTAAGATTAATCGATTGCAAACTTCGACTATATAAGATACGACAGTAGTTTTTTTACATGATATGATCAATTGAATACACTAGAATTCAAAGTATTAAACATACACATATACACATATATATATTTATACATAAATATATACATGCATACCTATATACATATGTGTGTGTGTGTGTATGTGTAAAACGTATAATAAAGATTGTTATACGCGTATAACTGTTTTTATTATAATTCTTTATAAATACAAATTGAAGGACGTTAACAAAATCGATAAGTCATGTGACTAAAGTTATTATGTTACGGGCAAAATCCGCAAAATGTGCAGAGTTAACATTGCCCAGGCAATGTCAATATTCTATAACACTCCTGAAACACAAGTTTAGATAAGCTTATATCTTTCGAAAGTGGAGTCCTCTCGCCGAAGAGGGGTAGAGTCCAATGCGTCCACACATGTACTTTATAAGACAAGGCAAAGTTTATTTATATGTTTATGGTATTAGACGAATTGTATTTAGTAAACATTTTGGTTAATAATCTTTTAACAAACAATCTAACGACGCTTAAAATCTACTTACTCAGGAGAGTGACTTTAATAACATATGTATGTCACAAGACTATTAAAATCGGTGAGGTCGCATTTAATATACATATACGTTATAGAATGCTGACATCATCCGGGTAATGTCGGCTTTGCACACTTGAGGATTTCCCTTGATCAGAGACATAAAGAGTTAATTTACATTTATCAATTATATACAAAATGTAACCATAGGTATACGAAGCACACCATCAGGTGCAGGACAACAAAGTAAATCGAAGTCCTGAGCCATTTTTTAATCTGGGCTTTATTTTTGACGCTATAAATTGTTAAAGTAGACGCCGCCTACTTTATAGCGTCAAAAATAAAGTCTAGATTAAAAAATGGCTTAGGACTTTTCGATTTACTTTGTTGTTCTGCACCTGATGGTGTGCTTCGTATATCTTTTAATTATATCTTGTAATATGTTATTTCCTGATAAAAATTGAGTCAGAATATTCTGAATTATATTTTGATTCTTAATGTGTAAAGAAGAAATTATTCAATATTTACTTAAGCGCCGCTCGCTAGATAGACATATCTATAACATTTGAATCGCACTTTTAATGTACGTGAGAAGCATCCTATTTGCTAACGTTGCGATTGTCCACAATCTCGATTGACTATATTGCGATTATCTACATTGCAATAATTACTGTTTCATATAAATTTGCAATTTCTGTATCATTCTCCTACCCTTATCACTCAATATTTTCTGTACAATAAATCTATAACAATATAGTTTTATGTGAGTTTCCGAAACGTAAGCAATTACAATGTGATGTTATTCATGCATGATTATACTCATCACACAATTCATAACAACATATAAAAGATAAACAGTAACTGTATGTACGTATGTATATATGTGTAAAATGTGTTACAATTTGATATTATTTAATAATTGCTTTTTCGTTAAACATCGTAAAAAAATAGTTAAGGAATTTTTAATTTCTTTTCCGTCAAAAAAGAATGCTATATAATTTATGACTGCAAATTACGGAATTTCTAAATATATTAATTTATAGATATCCCTCCATACAGATCGAATGTTCGGAGAAACACTCGCAAACATGGCGCATTATTTCATACATATGTATATGTATATGTATATTATTATTTATATATTTAATAATATATTAAATAATAATTAATTTTTACTAAAGATTTCTTCAAGTGCAGAAAAAGGATATGCTTTGCGATGATGGCCCCGGTTATTTCACATTAAAAATAGTTTTTCATTAGATAGTTTACCAAAACTTGATAAATCATATATGTATAATAGAGCTTACAATTAAATTTTTATATTACTCGTATATATCCATGCGAAATGCAAAGGATTGTACGTAAATTAGAAAAAAATATCAGACAGATTTATCTGTCAGGAAATTGGTTAAGAGAGTTTCCATCTTTGCAAAATATATTATAATCTCTGTTCTGTTACGTTTTCGTTCGTCCGTTTTTGGGTCAGTATATTTAAATACTTTATCCGGGAGTTGGACGGGTTGTGTGTACTTAGTTTTCAGTCCCGAACAGGAATCTTAGTTTATAAACTTTATAACGCGGATCAGTTTTGTTAATGCGGCGATAGTCGGGATAGTCAGGCTCGACGTTGATAGGAGTTAGTTGGTAAGGAATAGTAGGAGGTTTCTCGATTTGGGTGTTTGCTTCTAAATCTTGGAGTTTTTGCGAGAGGTGAAAGAAATTTTGTTGCAAATCAATCGCTTGTTTTATCTGGTATCTGAGCCGTTTGAGCTGTACCCGTTTACCTGCCCTTTTCTTCATGAGAATGTTAAATACGACGGAAGCTCCCAAAATGAACTTAGGGTCGCTACGCAAGGCAGCGACAAGTCCGATTCGCTACGCTCTTCGGCAGCAAAAGGGGTAAGCTCGATTTGAGAGTAATGGTAAATAATTTCATACACCAAGAGCAGTTTGTAGGCGCTACACTCTTCGGCAGCGCCGGTTACCAATTCGCTACACTCTTTGTCAGCGAAAAGGCCGTTCCCCGCTCTCGGAGATGTCCTATGTTATATGTAAATTTTAATCAAAACTCGGATCAGATGCCAAATAACTGAGCTTATTGCGGTATTATCAATTACCTTTTATTCTATGAGTGGTTACAAAATTATAAGTCTAAAGTACTGGATTAGTCGTAACGTAAGAATAAGGAAACGAAGGATGACAGTCAAAGTTCGCGGAGAACTATAGTTACGACAAAGGTTTCGTTAAGATTTCAACTGCGAATACTCGAAATTTTACCACCTCCATCTATGAATTTTGAAGGAGGGAGGCCCTTATCTCGGTTTGTTTATAAGATTTTGTTCATAAGGTTTGTTTATAAGGTTTATAAACAACCTTGGCGATCCTGCATATCGGATGTTAGTTTAGGATAGGTCCAGCTGAGAGCGATGAAAATTTGTCAATACGTGACGATAAGCAAATTCTAGCGATCCCGCGTATCGGATGTTAGTTTGAGTTAAGATAAATCTAACCGAGAGCGATGAAAATTTGTCGGTACGTGACAGTTCTTTTATATTAGCAATAGCCCTTGTTGGTTTTTGACGTTTGGTCAAAATGTCAACTAGATTTTTTCTAATACATTATCAAAGAATTTCGCACCGTAATATAATTAATATTTAACGAGCCTTTACTAAATCGATATTCGTCTTTTATATCTGTCTTTTTATAATTGATATTTTCTTTTTTTCTGTTTATTCTTTTCTTTATTTGATCATGAAAATCCCATAACGTCAATTTATAGCGGGATTTATAAAATCATTGATTATATCACTGACACATATGCTATACAAAGTAAACCATTATTATATAAGTATATTTAATCTTCAAAGTTTTTACATTTCAAAGCGATTTAGTCATTTATAATAAGAATATTAAGTCAGCTCCTCAATTTTTAAAAACACAATCTACACTCCATTCTTCTCAGCCAATACAGCCACACGCGATGTTATTGCGACAATTAAGAAAGAAAGAAAATTTGGAAACTAAGGAATTTGTATCCTATAGTTGGGATCTCAGAAATTCCTCTTTGTTCCTTCTCCTAACTTCCCCTGTAAAGAAATAGGCGAGAAAAATATTGGTCCGAAAGTCGGCTGAATCGGGAATCGAACCCGAGAACTTAGTCATTTATCTTCACTCGCATATCCACTCGTTTCTCCCAAGTATGACGGATCCCTCACTGTCGATCGTGTCCTAAATGCGTGCGATCGCATGTAAAACACTATATACTATATGCATATATATATATGTATATATATATATATATATATATATATATATATATATACATATATATGCATGTAGGTTCAAACTAAGCGAACGAGCACGAAAGATTATGAAGAATCAATACCAGCGAATGCCAGAAGAAAATATGTGAATTGATAATGTTAATTGTTTTGTTATTTTATAAAAATCATTTTATACGTAAAATAATTTTTCATAAATTAAATAACGTTTTTTTTATTGATATTCGTTGATATTTATTCGTGATTATCGTTCGTATTTGTTCGCTTCGTCTGTACCCGACTAAATGCGTGTCGTAATGAGAAAATGCGACGAGAAATTGCAACCTTTAATGTGTTCGACTATGTATCTTGTCGTTGTACTTTTTTGTCTGATTTGTATAAGCGAATTGATGAGATTATTATACTTGTACTTTATCCGCGAAAGACATATCTACAACTAACGATTACACGAGTCTGTCGCAATTGCATTTAGTATTATGTACGTAGACTTAGTTATCACGCATTTATAGAAGCGATACACTTTCAAAAAAGTAAAACATATGCATATTGCTACTTTTTCCCATTGATTCACGTTTGTAAGTAAATGTATTATGAGCATTAAAACCTATTAATTAAAGTATTCAACACAATTATATATATATATATATATGTATATACGTAGTCTGAAAAGTTTCCAGTCTTAACATGAAGACGGCGTTACTCGTCAAAAATATTCTAGTAATATAATTGCGCATGCGTTGAAAGATACCCTTGAAAATTTAATTTATTAGATGCTCAGTTATTGTTTAACAGTTATTTGTGTCAGTCGATGTTTTGTTTCACCAAAACAACGCACCGTCTCACACTTCAGTGGTCGCCATGGCAAAAATTCACGAATTGGAATTCGAATTGATTGACCACCCACCGTATTCACCAGATCTGGCCTCCAGCGACTTTTTTTCTCTTTCCTAGGCTCAAAGTTTCGCTCGGAGGACAGATTTTTATCAAATGAGAAGGCCATCACATTCGTAAACGACTATTTTGCAGAACAAGATGTCAACTACTATTTGGATGGATTAAAGAGATGGGAGCATCGCTGGAAAAAGTGTATAGAATTATAAGGAGTCTATGTTGAGAAATAAAACTGAATTTAACAAAAAAACTTGTTTCTGTGTTAGGTTGGAAACTTTTCAGACTACTCTCGTATAATATTCTATTTTAATTAGAAATAGTCTTACTATTTCCGCCAACTTTTATATTGTAGACAAGCATATCTTTATATGAAAAATGAAATCGAATCGCGAAATCTGTAGCGAATAGTAAAAACAGATAAAAAGTTGTGTCCCCATCATTATTATACTTTGTTTTAGCGAACGTTTTAGTACAGGAGGCAGTGAAAATTTTTTACACTTATTTTCGCAGCCAATGAATATTGATAGGATTGTTCCATTAATAATGTTAATTAACAAATCGCCAGTCTGGCAACGATTTTTCGCTGTGTGAAAAATACAAATAAGTTGCACTTATTTTTACAGTCATGAAACTTCTTATACTATTTAACATTATAATAAAACTTACTAAAAAAAGTAATCTTGTTGATCGTAAGATACGGTAAATGAGTCTGGCTATGATTTTTTTTTTGATAAATCCGTCATTCGGAAAATCAGGTTGATTTCTAAAATATGTTGCACTTATTTTCGCATTAACGAAACTTATTGTACTAATTAATGTTATCATGTAATATAATTAAAAATTAGTCTGGTTGATCTGTGAGGTTGGCAAGTACATCTGTCGGCACCTCAAAATTTGGAAAAATAAAAAATCATTGTACTTATTTTTGCAGTTCTGAAAATTTGTTAGATAATAATTTGCATTATAAAAATAGCAAAGAAAACAGTTTAAC